TCCAAACGTTGATTCCAGCTTCTCAAATTAAACAATTTGCTGCTTTTCTTTGGGAAAAAAAAAAGTAATCTTACTACAGGGTTTTGTTTTTGTATTTTTAAATAGCAGCTCAGACCCCCCGAGAGAACACAAACCCTTTCCCTCTCCTGCGTCTACAGCCTCACAAAGCAAACAGACATCTAAATTTGTAGTTTGATTCTCCAACAGTGGAAAGCAGTATCTTGTCTGTATCTGCCTCTCGCTGAACAGTTTGACCCACTTTCTCTAATCTCACAGGGCTGCAGCAGAAAACCTGGTGTTTGGTGTTGTACCTTTTTCCTGACGAGGGACATGACCCCGATCCTGGTGAGAACGTGCTGACGAGACAGACCCTCTCGTGGGACGCCATCAGCGAAGGTCTCTGCTCCGTCCGCCCCCGGCTCACATAGATGTCTCATGAACAGAGACACATAGGCCCTGATGAGAAACACTTGACAGTTAGATTCCTCTGAGGTCACCAGAACCAACGCCATGTTGACCTCTGTGTCTCTAAATGATTCACTATGGCAGCAGTGGAAGCAGCTGTAGCAGCCGTTAGAAGAACAGTAGCAGTAGCAGCGGTTGAACCAGTAGAGTCAGTGCAGCTCCAGTGGTGGTAAAACTTTATCTGCTCGTGTTTTACTTTAGAAATAACAAACAGAACTCAGGGCTACAAAGATTCTGAATATTTATTTGTGTAATGTTTGGCTCTGGTCCATTATACAGAGAGAAGCAACAGGCAGGGCCGACTTTTAGAAAGTTTATGAGAGAGTTCTGGAGCTTTGCTCTGGGCAAACCAATTAAATATGAGAAGCTGACAAAACAGCAGCAGGCAGCCATCACACTCTCAGTATAGAAAACCACCGGACTCTCACCTGAACTCACGCTCGCTCTTCCCTCGCAGGTCCCTCACCAGCCAGTGAGAGTTGAAAGCATCCTGCGGCGGCATGCCCCAGCGCATGATGGCGTTGAGGAAGGCTTTCCTCTGGCGAGCGTTGAACCCCAGGACCTTTTAAAGAGAACAAACAGCTTCAGACTGAAACTCTCAACCAACAACCAGAGAACATTAAACAAGCAGAATACTCTGATAAATACAAAAAACACAGATTGTATTGGACTACACGGCCTGTGTACAGTACTTTTTAAAAGTATTATGTTATGTATTGCCTGTTTTATAAAGTAACTAGAAGCACTCAGCAGATTACACCTTCAGCTACACTATTTGTGTTTCTTATTCTGACAGATGATTGGATGACACCACGTTCCCAGACAATCTTGGTAATTACTTGGGTGAATACAATTTTATTATGACTCATTATAATAATGACCCAAACTACACAGAAATAACGACCACATTGTGATGGATCAGGTTTATCTTTATAGAGCGCAGACATCACAGTCCCCGTATGAAACCACATTTAAATTCACGTGGATCTGCACCACATTTGACACACTCATACATCAGTCCCCGCAAAATGCCAGATTTTTTTTCATCAAGATCCAGCGGCTCTTCCCGAGAAAATAATGAAAACTTTGAAAAACAAACACAACGTTAATTAAAGTGAAAAATAAATCCCTCGATTGAATGGGTTCTGTTTTTTTGGCCCGATGCTTCCACTAAGTTTTGTGGAAATTTACCAAGTTTACTTCGCTGAAAAATAAACAATCCCGCCCACAAACCAACAAACAGGGCATAAACATGACCTCATTGGCGGAGGTAAGAGAAAAGCAATCATTTACTTAAATCTGTCCTATCGCAGAGCAGTGATCGATCACACAGGATCAGCCGGGGAGAGGTGGTGTTTGATTGAGCGTCAGCTTGTTATGATGCTTAACGTTGGTCTCTTATCCCAAAATCAGTTGCCCTTATACCCAGTACATCTTGAGAAAAAGGGCCTGCAGCCTTCACATACCTCAATACTGCCTCCAACACGTGCCAGTAACGGAGGCAGAGGTTTGTCTCTCTCGCTTTTCAGCTGCCGGCGAGACTGTCTGCGCCCTCCTACAACAAATAAAGTCAAACCCACTGTCAGAAGGATCCTCTCCTCGGTGTCTCCACTCGTAGAGATGCGCTGCACTGAAAACTGCACGATGACGATGATGATGCCGTGAACCGATGCCTACCTTCAGGCCTCTCCTCGAAATCTTCGTCCTCGTCCTCGGACCCCACGGAGTACTCCGACTGATTGTCTGAAAGATCATCCTGCCACTCTGAGCAAATACATCAAACAGAAACAGTACATTGTGTTCGCTTCCGTTGGTGGCCACCTGAGGGCGCCGTGGCACTGCCGATTACCGCAGACCGCCACAGCCGGGCAGGCACGCGCTCTGCCGCCCATGTCCTCTGGAAGAGAGGTGAGAGAGCACTACTCTGCCAGACAATCACTCCGCACTTAGAGAGCACTCTGAGCTGTGATGGGCTGTGAAATCTCTCACACAGTCGGCTGCTGTTGAACTGTGGCGAAGCTTCAAAAACCAGCTGAGGAAACTCGATAAATGAGACACCTGAGAGCTTCAGGCCAGTGAAACGCTCCCTGCGGTGGATCTGATGGAGGTCAACAGCTCTCGTTCACACTTGGTGATTCATTTCTGTCCAGTTTTTGCTTAAACTGAAGAAATTATTCTTTGTTAAAGGGATAGTTCACCGAAAAATGAATATTGGCTCATTATCTCCTCACCGCTATGCCGATAGAGGGGTGGGTGAAGTGTTCGAGTCCGCCAAACACTTAAGGAGACTCAGAGGCAAACAGAGGTTCTTCAGTTGTGACCTCTTCTTCAGACGTAAAGAAACAGAAAACACAACACGCCTCCATACTTTCGACTCGAAACAACATCGTTTACATGTTTTTAGCCTAAATTTCACCTGATTACCTCCTCGGAGAGTTGCGTACCCTTGGGCAGCTCGGAACACCGCAAACACTCTCACCCCTGTTCGTGAAGCTACGTCGGCTAGCATAGCCACTTCCGGTAGTGGACTTTAAGGGTTAATAAGAAGAAGTCACTTTGGCTGCAACACTGTTCACCCCTGAAACTCCAAACGTGTTTCTTGGACTCAAACACTTCACCCACCCCTCCATCGACATAGTGGTGAATAGGTAATGAGTGAATTTTCAATTTTGTGTTTGTGAGGAAACAGCAGCCGGAGCTACAGCCTCAGTTCACTGTTCTGTTATTGAATTAACAGGATATCACACTATCGATCGCAGCGTTTGGTGCACGAGAGCTGCTGACGTGCAGAAGCCAGCAGAGAGGAAGGTTCACTGGTCTGTGCAACGATGCCAGTGACAAAACATAGCTCCTGTTTCTGCAATTCCTCAAATGACTGCAGGAAAACGATCATCACATGTTGAGTTGAGATGTTACACAACAAACACGCTTCCATTTTGGCAGCTGATTGGCAGATCGGCCACAGAATTGAGCGACTTCTTCTAAACGTCGATATAGAAACGTTTATTTTTCAACAGAAACAATGAATTCTGTGAAATATTTTACGTAAAACAAAAGTGCTAATCTCTAATCTCATCATAACGGGCAGCAGCTCCCAGCAGCACACAGCATTTAGTATCGACTGTTTGAGGCCTTGATACTCTGCTTAGCTGCTAAACTGCGTGAAGATCATTTGAGGGTGAAAACAAACGGATCCATATTTTTAAAAGAAACCGAAACAGGAGCCTGCTGAGTTGTTTGTTTGGAACATTGTGTGTGTGTGTGTGTGTGTGTGTGTTGACGGAGCCTACCTTGATCCTCCTGCGTCGTGTCGTTGTAGTTGACCTGCTTCCGGATGCGTTTGCCTTTGCCCAGGTTCCGAGCCAGATCCTCCTGCTGCTGCTCGTAGTGGTGACGGAGGAGTTTCTCCCAGTAGTCTGGATCCACGTTCTCCTCCTGCTTGATGATCTCACGCTCCACCTCCTCCTGAACACACACACACACACACGTTAGTAAATGCTATAACACTAGATGTTATGAGTTGTGAATGTCCAATATACAAATAAAACTTTTTGTATTATCTTAGATTTAGAAAACCTTCTTAAAGCCTTTGAAATACTCGTGTTACAAATGAGATTTCCATTCTGAAGTAGTCGAGTATTCCCTCACCTCTCCGTCTTCCTCCTTCACCACGTACTGAGCCACCTTGAAGGAGCTCAGGTACTCGTTCATGTTCTGAATCTCCGTGTCCTCAGTGGCGTCCTGGCTGCGGTCCAGCAGCTTGGAGATGGCATCGTCGTCGTAGTGAATCACGTTGCCCTCCTCTCCATCTTTGTTGTCACCTGTCGATGAGAAGACGAGTTCATCTGTTTATTACCGAGAGGAGCAGAAGAAAAACCTGTTTGACCGCGTCTGCAGCTTTGATCCACAGGAAAAAAAGAAACTGAATCCAAAAGAAGAACTTTCGAATGACTGGCCAACCCATAATTATATGGATTCACTGGTGTTTTGGGGTTTCGTCTCGTGTCTTCTACCTTTTCGTGCTCTTTCTGAGATTAGCTCCAAACTCAGTGTTTTACTTTGTGAGTCACTGACATCTGCTCACGATGATGGTGCTAATACTTCCACGGACCGCAGCACAAACCATCTCTGCATTTGCAAGGATCAGGGTAAATGGAGACGTGCGTTTGAGAAGTAACGTTTATTTGTATCATGGCAGACAGAGAATCATGGGAACTTCTGGACACTGGATCCCCTCAGCTGGAGGAAAATTCAACAGACTCACCCATGGCCCGGGCCGCCTCCATCTCATCTTTGAAAAGCTCCTCCGTGCCAAACTTGAGGATGTCGTCCAGCTCCTGTTTGGACATTGAGCCGGTTTTGGAGCCCAGGCCTGGCCGCACCACCAGATGGGTCAGCATCATCTTCCTCTTCGCCACCTGAGTAATCCGCTCCTCCACCGAGCCTCTTGTCACGAAGCGGTAGATCATCACCTTCCTGTTTTGGCCGATACGGTGGGCCCTGCTGAAAGCCTGGGGATGACGCACAGCACCGGTAAGAAGCAGCTAAAACTAGTAAATAAATCACACAAGTGCTTCGTGAATCGTTACTTGAATGTCATTGTGAGGATTCCAGTCGGAGTCGTAGATGATGACAGTGTCTGCGCTGGCAAGATTGATGCCGAGACCTCCAGCTCGTGTTGAGAGCAAGAAGCAGAACTGCTGAGCCCCCGGCGCTGTGACAGAAACCAGACATGGAGTTGATGTGTGCATGAATGTGTCAGAAAACACACACACACACACACACACACACACACACACACACACACACACACTAAGAATAATACTGCATCGTCACAAACTCACCATTGAAGCGGTCGATGGCCTCCTGTCTCAGGCCTCCAGTGATTCCTCCATCGATACGTTCATATTTATATCCCTCAAACTCCAAGAAATCCTCCAGAAGATCCAACATCTTTGTCATCTGGAAAAAAAAAGTGCAGCTGCGATCAAACTAATTGTCATGTTAAAGAAAAGACTGACTTTAGCACTGGAGAGGCCAAAATGTGGATTTCATAGCCACCGACCAACGACAGCTGCGGCTTCCAGCTCAGACAGAATATTCACTGGATTATTTACCTGAGAGAAAATGAGAACTCTGTGTCCCTCGTCTTTGAGTTTCTTCAGCATTTTCTGAAGCAGCGTCAGTTTTCCTGAGGACTTCACCAGCAGGTTTCCATCATAAGATCCGTTGGGTAACACAGGAGCTTCCTGCAAAGACATCAAAATCAACTCCATCATCCAGAGAAATACATCATACTCCACTGATTTGGTAGAGATTGAATATTTCGTTTGTTCCTGAGTGATTTGTGTGGAGCAGTGTTTCCTTGCTGCCTCACCACAGCAGCCACAGGGAACAGGTAGGGATGGTTGCAGCACTTCTTCAGGTCCATCATGATGTTCAGCAGCGACACCTGGTTCCCTCCCCCTTTAGAGTTCAGAGCCTCGAAGTTCCGCGTCAGGATGAACTTGTAATATTTCCTGAGGGTCGGAGGTCAGAGGTCAGATCGATTCGATAGGAGTGAAACACAATTTACTTTAAATTAAATTAAATCATCACACTGTAAAAAAACAGTATGTTGAATTTACTTATTACATCAAGTGGTTGCACAAAATAAAC